CTCGAACTTGCAACGATCCTCCTGCCTCAGCCTCCCATGTGCTGGGATTACAGGTATGCACCACCATGCCCGGCTGCCTATACTATTTCTAATTTAGCTGTCTATAATCCCCGCCAAGGTCCGGCCCAGGCACCCCTAACTGCCGAGAAGGGGAACAGGGCGATGACCTGTCTACTTTAGTCTGAATGGGGTCGCTGAGAGTGGTTTTAATGAAGCACTCCGCTGATGTGCCTGCCCTTCCAACACGGAGGTCGCAGCAACCCCAGTAGGCCATAGCAGCCCCTGCCCCGCCCCGGAGAGCACTGCGCACGCGCGGAGAGAGGTTGGGGGCCGCCCCGCCCCGCGGGGTTTGGCCTCCCCCCCTGGGCACGCGCCGCCGCGTCACCCCGCCGGGTCCCCGCCCCCGCGGCGCCGAGCGGGTCAGGGCTGCGCGCGCAAGGGCCGTGCGGGCGCTGGCGGAAGGGGAAGCGGAGGGTAAGGAGGGGCTGCGTGCGGGCGCGAGTGTGGCAGGGTTGCTAGCTTCCCCGTCCGCTATGTCGGGCCCGCTGGACCCAGAGGAGGAGAGTGGAAGAACTCTGGTACCGGTTTCTCCTCGCCCTTCCTCTTGCGGTCTCCAACGCACCCCTGACCGCCGAAATGTTTCCGTCTCTCCCGAGCTTCCTCCGGTCTGGACCGGGGCTGCCTCTGCTCCTGCGTCCCTCCCGCTGGGGAACCCGAAGGCGGTGTCCCCGGCTTCTCCGCGCGCTCCGCGTTTGTCTGAGGTCCCTTCCTTGCCTTGTCCGGTGCGCCAGATTGATCATCAGCCTTTAGCAGTTTCGGGATAGCGCTTTAGGTCCAGCCCTAACCAAGCACAAACAGTTAAGGTTTTTGACGTTGGTCCCGGACTCTGTGACACTGTTTTGGGGGCGGGGTACCGGGGATCGAACTCAGGATCTTGCACTTTCTGGGCAGGCGCTTGTGCCACTGAGCTATATCCCCAGCCCTCCCGGACTCTTTCTGACACCCTTTGCTGAAGCAACTTCCACAAGCTCTGACAGTGAATTCAAGGCCACCAAACGTAGGTTTTCTTTTTTTTTTTTTTTCCGCTACCGGGAATCGAACTCACGACCTCGCGCTTGCCAGGCAGGCGCTGTGCCGCTGAGTTCAATACCCAGCCCCCCAAATACAGGTTTTCTTTAGTAACTGTGCTTGTCTCCACCATTTCCTGTTAATCTGCCTTTATAGTTTGGGATTCTTGAGGCACGTTCTTGACATCTCTGGGTAATGGCCCAGAGTTGTGCTGTTCCCATTTTGAAAATGTGGTCAACCCACAGGCCACCTTTTGGAATGAGATACTGCACTACTGAGATGGTATCAGCAGTTACCGAGAAGCAAGGTAACCAATTAGGATTTCTAGGGCAGGGGATATAGCTCAGTGGCATAAGTGCCTGCCTGGCAAGCGCAAGGTCTTGAGTTCGATTCTCAACACACACACAAAAAAAGTGGTCCGATTAGGATTTCTGCAGTCTGCCACCAGAGTGGGTATTTAGTGAACTCTTTCTTGTAGTAGGAGGCAGCATTTTAGCTGTGCCTCCTCAATGGCTGTGCCTGATGCCTTGAAGTAGAGGACAGGAGGTACTTAGCAATTAAACCACTGAGGTCCAAAGTCTGTCGGCAGCGAAAAATCTAAAGCAGAAAAAACCTGACAGCCCTGTCAGGATATCAGCAGGTTGAATTTCTATGTAATAACAAATACATTCTTTACATTTATATACTAGTTAAATATAAAATACTGACATTATGTAGATGCCGATGTGAAACTTTAGCAGTGACTTTAGAATGTCTCAAATTTCTCAATAAGTTAAATCCTAGATACTCATCCTAGTCATCATAATTGTCTTTCTTACTTTGACTTTCAGTGAATGCTATACTTAATACTTTTTTCAAATGTCAGCCTACACTACATTTTTTCTAATGTCAATCTTCATACCAGTTCTTGCCGGGCGTGGTGGTGCACGCCTGTAATTCCAGCACTAGGGAGGCTGAGGCAGGAGGATCGGTGTGAGATCAGCCTGGGCTACAAAGTGAGCTCAAGGCCAGTCTGAAGTGCATAGCCAGACCCTGTCTCAAAAAGACAAAAAAAACCCAGTTCTCCTTGTTGATGCCTAAATTACAAAACCTTAATCATTTTAGATTTTCTCTGTGTATTATCTCTATATCTCTTATATTCTAGGAACTTTTTTTTTTTTTTTTTGGTCTTTTTGAGACAGGGTCTCGCTATGTAGTTCAGGCTGGCCTTGCGCTCACTTTGTAGCCCAGGCTGGCCTCGAACTCACAACAATCCTCAATTACAGGAGTGTGCTACCACGCCTGGCTGTTTTTTTTTTTTTTTTTTTTTAAAGTCAGAAGGTACCTTGGATTTATACCTTTGATTATCATTGCGAAGCTGTTAGGCTGTTTAATTGGACTTTGTTACCTCCTAGCTCACACCTCTGAAGAACCAAACAGTTCTGAAATACAACTGTTATCGTGTTTATTCTTGTTAAATCTATTAAAACTCTAAATTTCTCTACTTGGCTTCAAAGTCCTTTTCTGTAACATGGCCTAATGTAATGTGATATGGTGGATAAAGACTTGGATTCAGATACTGAGACTGTAATACTAACTTTGTATCTTTGGGGAAACTGAGTTTAGTTTCCTTCTGCCTTATCTTGGACAAGATTCTTTTCTTCTTGCCTCTTAATTATTGTGAGAATTATAATTGACATAGTAAGTGAAAAAGCTAACAGTTGAAAAAACCAACCTATTAATTAGTATCTCTCATTGTACTCATTGATTTCACAAACATTTGAAAAGCTAATATATGTTAGTGACTAGTACTATCGCTTTGAAAGGCAGTCCCTGCCAATAAGAGCCTGTATGTGTAAGTGCTTGTACTCACTTGGATTAGGAAGACAGGGTGTGATAAGAGCGGGATATAGGCTGCACTACAGGTAAGTTTAGAGTGACACCAAACCCAGAGAAGAGAAACAGGGAAAGAGTAATGGAGAGAATTATATTTCAGCAGTCTTGGATTACAGCAGAGATCCAGAAGGGCTTTGTGTGCTGAGGAAAGTATACAAAAGGTACACTTTTGTATACTGTCCCGCTCCCCAGTGGTATCGGAATTGAACCTAGGGCCTTGGTGCTGAGCAACAACCCTAGCATTTATCTTTTATTTTGGGATGGCGTCTTGCTAAATCTCTAAGTTGCCCAGGCTGAGTGTGAACTTGCAGTCTTCCTGCTTCAGCCTCGCAGAGTGTTGGGATTACAGGCAGGTGCCAACACATCTGGTTTCAATTGAAGGATTTGAAGCAGACATTTGATTACAATTGACATAGTATGTAAAAAGGCTAACAGTTAAAAAGAAAAACTGATGTAAGTTATTCTTATTTCTCATTGTACACATTCATTTCACAAAAGCTAATATATGTTAGAGATTGGTGTTGTTCCCATGTGAAAGACACTCCCTGCCCATAAGGGACTGTATTTTAAGGAGCTTAACTAATCACAATTGATTTTTTTTTTTTTTCTTTTTTGCCTTTTTAAGACAAATAGGGTTTCCCTATGCAGTTCGGGTTGGCATTGGACTCACTTTGTAGCCCAGGTTGGCCTTGAATGGTAATCCTCCTGCCTCAGCCTCCTGAGTGCTGGGATTGCAGGTGTGTGCCAAGATGCCCAGCCCACAGTTGATTTTTGAAAGTTCATTCTGTGATGCCTACCTCCTTACTGTAGGCTACAAAATCTGCTTTCTGCCTCTGTACCTTATTTTCTTTACCCAAAAGGGCTTATAAGTCCTCAGACCTTACTATTGATCTGTTAGTGTTTAATTTGGGTTCTGTTTTTTGTGTAAAGCATCTAAATACTTTAGCCGCCATTACTTGCTCGAATCTCTGAAACTATATAGAAATACTACCAATAATTGAGTCCTTATTTCTTTTAATATACATTTTATGTCTCTAAGTGAATTGTAAGCATAGTGTATGTTTCCTTTGCATAAGAATAGAAAACATATTACACATAAAAATATGTTCTTTGATCTGTTTGTATTTTGTTTTTCAGGGTAGGAGAAGATTATGGGCAATAGAAACTTTGGTTAATCTGTGATCATCATGGCTGATGAAACCTGTTCCAAGGCTGTTGATAGTCCATTTTCATCAGATAAACATGCCCAACTCATCTTGGCCCAGATAAATAAAATGAGAAATGGGCAGCATTTCTGTGATGTGCAGCTGCAAGTCGGGAAGGAAACTTTTAATGTTCATCGGCTGGTCTTGGCTGCCAGTAGTCCATACTTTGCAGCTTTGTTTACTGGAGGAATGAAAGAATCCTCAAAAGATGTTGTACAGATTCTAGGAATTGAAGCTGGGATCTTTCAGTTACTTCTAGATTTCATTTACACAGGTATGTTACATGAGCCTGTGGCTTTGCGGGAAGATTGATGCGGGTACTCTTATACTGTGGGAGGATCAGAAATTGATCGAATTCACAAGCATGGGACGTTAGTAACATATTACCGTGAGACTTTGAAAACTCCCTCCCTCTTTCTTTCTCTTTCTCTCTCTGTACCTCTCTTTTTGTGAGATCGGGTCTTAGTGCATTGCCCAGGATGGCCTCAAACTCCTCAGTACGGGCAATCTTCCTCCTTGAGTCTCAGCCGTAGTCTCTCTTGTAGCTGGGACTAGAGGCACACACAGTTTTTCCCCATCCAGAAGTTCCTGTCTTTTGACTCAACAGTCCTTTTCTAAGAATTCTAACAGATTAACTAATGATAGAGCATGTATTTATGAAACATAATCTTTTTTTTTTTCTTTTTGAGACAGTCTCGCTGTGCAGCTCAGGCTGGCCTTGAGCTCAATTTGTAGCCCAGGCTGGTCTCAAACCCACAAGGATCCTCCTGCCTCAGCCTCCCCATTGCTGGGATTACAGGCATGTGCCACCATGCCTGGCTTGTTTTTTTTTTTTTTTGAAACAGGGTCAGTATGTAGTTGCAGGCTGCCTTCAGAGTCACTGTGTAGCCCAGGCTGGCCTCGAACTTGCAGTAATCCTCCTGCTTCAGCCTTCTGAGTGCTGAATTTAGAAGTGTGCATTACCATACCTGGCAGATTTGTTATCCTTTATCAATTATTCACAATTCTAATATATATATATATTTTTATTTTTTTTTATTTTTTATTTTTTTTTGCGGGGGTTTCCTTTGTGAGACAGGGTCTCACTATGCAGTTCAGGCTGGACTTGAGCTCACTTTGTAGCCCAAAGCTTGAGCTGCTCTCAAGCTCACAACAATCCTCCTGCCTGAGCCTCCTGAGTGCTGGGATTATAGGCATGCGCCACCATGACCGGTGGTTCTAATATATTTTAATATATATTTCTCTTCTCAGATTTTTATGTACTTTACTTAGAATCAAATGGCCTGAGTTTGAGATCAGTAGCTGTGCCACTAATTAGTGTGTGATACAGATATTTAATTTAACTGTAGTCAACCATTCCTTTTTTTTTTTTTTTGAGATAAGGGTCTCACTACGTAGTTCGGGCTGGCCTGGACTCGCTGTGTAGCCCAGGCTGGCCTGGAACCCTCAGGGATCCTCCTTCCTCAGCCTCCTATGTGCCACCACACCTGCCATTAATTCTTTTAACACATATAAACTGAATATTTTCTTGAGTGAAGCAGTAGGGATTTGACAGTAAATAAGACAGATACAGTCTGTGTTCACAGAACTTTGTAGGTAATGCAGATTCAGTGTTTACAAAATAGAAGTAAGCAACCTGAGTGTGATGGCGTCTGCCTGTCATTCCAGCACTCTGGGAGGCTGAGGCAGAATCTTGTTTGAGCCCAGCTCAAGCAACTTAGTGAGACCCTGTCAAAAAATACAATGAGCTGGAGATCATAGCACTTTATAGTTTGTGTGAAGGTTAAGTGAAATACATTTTAGTAAATGTGAAAAATCCTTGTGAATTCTGAAGTCCTTTTGGTTGTAGGGTGTTCTTATTATTAATCTCAAGCAACCTTTATCATTATCCATTGAATAGCAGTTATGTAGCCCTTGTGTCACAGCCCTGTTATGTCACCCATGATCTTACTTTATCCACATTTGTAGGGAATTGTCATTTAATTGTAGTACTTGTCTAATCTCAGTTTTCTCTGTAGCAAACTACCACTTATCCCCTTACTAGATTTTTTTTCTTTTTCTTTTTCTTTTGTTGTTGTGGATGATTGAATACAGTGCCTTCACATTCAGCTATATCCTCAGCCCTTTTAAAATTTTTTTGGTCTTTTATTTTGAGACAGGATTTTGCTAAATCACTAAGTTGTCTAAACTGGGTTTGAACTTGAAAACCCAGCTGGGATTACCGGTGTGTACCACCATGTATAGTGTAGATTACAGTTTTTATACTTTTGGAAAAGCCCCAGTTTGTATTCAGTGAACTGTGTCCTTCCTCTCACTTTAATCTCTTTGACCATTCACTCATTAAAATAATTTTCAGAACATCTAATATGTACTAGGCATTTGGAATGTAGAGGGGGCAAGTCTTGTCTTAACAGACTTTGTAAATCTAATCAATAAAACAAACTTTGGACAAGTAGTTTAGTGGAATGATTGTTACGAAGGAGATAAATTAAAGGGAAAGTGTAAGACTGAGTGGACAGTTTATCTTTATTCAGTAGAATTACAGTGGGTTCCCCCCCTTATGTATAATTGGCTATTTGATGTGCTCCCAAAGTCGTTATGTAATATAAAAATGAAGCTCTCTGGAAAGAAAGTAGTATATGTAGTTTAAATAGTTAATGTTTTCTCATATGTTATAGACTCTTAGTTATACCTGATAGTAAAAACTAAACAGTGTATGGCACTGTATCATAATTGAAGATCCTCTTACTCTCCTGAATTCCTTAGTAATGGAGTTTATTTATTTATTTATTTTATTTTTTGAGGCAGGGTTTTGATATGCAGATCAGGCTGGCCTTGAGCACACTTTGTAGCCCAGGCTGGTCTCAAACTCAAAACAGTCCTCTTGCCTCAGCCTCCGAGTACTGGAGTTACAAGCACGTGCCACCATGCCTGGCTTTTGAACTCAGTCTGTAGCCCAGGCTGGCCTCGAACTCTCATCAGCAGTCCTCCCGTCTCAGCATCCCGAATGCTGGGAGTGTAGGTGTGGGCCACCATGCCTGGCAGTGGACTTTAATGTCAGTCCCTACCCTGCAGCTTGCTTAGCCATGTAACATGGAGAAAAGTTACTTAAATATTCTGAAACATTCTGATTCTATTTCCTTGATACAATAATAAATAAATAATAATACCTACTATATGGGATGTAGTGAGGGTGGATTGAATATATAAAGCATTTAATACTGTGTCTGGTTCATTATAAATATTTCATAAATGTTAGGTATCATTAAGTTTTGTCCTCTTTCCACAAATACTTTGTTGCCTTTATACTTCTTCCTATTTAACAAACATTAAACTGCTAGTGAAATCAAATAAATTAATTTGAGTATGTTAAGTCAAATGTGTGTTTTTATTTTACTGGCTATTTTGTCTCCCTACTCCCCTAGGTATAGTGAATATAGGTGTGAATAATGTTCAGGAGTTGATTGTTGCAGCGGACATGCTACAGTTGACTGAAGTTGTTAATCTTTGTTGCGAATTTCTGAAAAGACAAATTGACCCGCTGAACTGCATTGGGATCTTTCAGTTCTCTGAACAGATTGCTTGCCATGATCTTTTGGAATTCACAGAAAACTACATTCACGTCCATTTCTTGGAAGTTCACAGTGGGGAAGAGTTCCTGGCACTCACAAAAGATCAGCTGATCAGAATTTTACGAAGTGAAGAGCTTAGCATTGAGGATGAATACCAGGTCTTCCTAGCTGCCATGCAGTGGATTCTGAAAGATCTGGGAAAGAGAAGAAAACATGTGGTGGAAGTGCTTGACCCAATTCGATTCCCTTTATTACCTCCTCAGAGGCTTTTAAAATATATAGAAGGTAACTTTAACTTTTTACGTTGTATCAAATTAGTGGATTGTCAAGTGGCTTTCTCTGAAATGTGCTATTTTCATTTTTTGACACATATTGAATGATTACTGTATGTAAGATACAACTTTTGTGGGTGGACAGTAGTATTTATTTATTTATTTATTTATTTATTTATTTATTTATTTATAGACAGGGTCTCGCTATGTAGTTCAGGCTGTCCTTAAATCCACTATGTAGCCTAGGCTGGCCTAGAACTCAGCAATCCTCCTGCCTCTGCCTCCCGAGTGCATGCACCACCACGCCCAGCTATACTCATTTTAATCAAATACATATCTATGTACCATTCTTGAAATAAATAAGAAAGTTAAGTATTATACATAAAATTACTGACAGTTACACTGTTAACTATTGTTTTTTTGTAAGGTGTTTTTGTTTTTGTTTTTGTCTTTTACCAGGAGTCAAACTCATGACCTCATACTTGCCAGGCAGGCGCTGTGCCACTCAGCTATCTCCCCAGCCTAACTGTTGTTTTAGGCAGTAACCTTTTTGGTTTTTTTTTTTTTTTTTGTTTTATTTCTCCAGCACTGGGAACTGAACTCACGACCTTCCGCTTGCCAGGCAGGCGCTTTTGCCGCTGAGCTAAATCCCCAGCCCCGAGCCTAACTGTTGTTGACGGTATTAATTATTTCACGATAAGATTTGCTCTTGGAAATCTTTATTTTTTATTTTTCTATTTTTTGTCTTTTCGAGACGGTCTCGTTACGCAGTTCAGGCTGGCCATGAACTCACTTTGTAGCCCAGGCTGGCCTCGAACTCACAGCAATTCTCCTGCCTCAGTCTCCTTAGTGCTGGGATTACAGGTGCCACCATGCCTGGTACCATTCTTAAATAGTCAGCAAAACCTAACCTTTGAGGAGATTATATTTACTAAAAACAAAACCAAAACTCAGAAAATGCTGTAAATCCACTCTCACTGGTTTTTTGGAATCAAACTGACAACCTCACGCTTGCCAGGCATGTGCTTGTGCCACTGAGCTATATCCCCAGCCCTCACTATTAAAGGAAGTTTATAATGATATATTAACAGCTTCTGAGTATCCTTTGAATCATCGTTAGATTCAAGACTTTTTGTTTGTTTGTTTGTTTTTGTTTGGTCCTGGGAATCAAACTCATGACCTTGCGCTGGCCAGGCAGGTGCTGTGCTACTGAGCTATATCCCCAACCCTAGACTTTGTTTTGTGTATGGTGCTAGGGATCAGATGTAAGCCCTTCAACATGTTAGGCAAATGTTCTACCCCTGAGCTACATCTCTAATCCTTTTTATATTTTGAAACAGGGTCTTCTCTCAGGCTGTCCTCAAATTTGTGATCTTCTTGTTTCAACCTCACCCATATCTGGGATTACAGATGTGCCAGTGCATCCATTTCCCAGCCCTGATTTTAAACTTTTTTCTGGATATATTTTTACCATAGTATAAAAAATTTTATGTTCAACCAGGCATGGTGGCTCATACCTATAGTCCCAGCACTCTAGGAGGCTGAGGCAGGAGGGTCACAAATTTAAGCCTAGCCTAGGGAATTTTTATTTATTTATTTATTTATTTATTTGTTATTAGGAATTGAACTCAGGACCTTGCACTTGCCAGGCAAGCACTTGTGCTGCTGAGCTATATCCCTGGCCCCAATTTTTATTTTTTTTAACCTAGGCAATTTAGTGACTAAACAAAACTGTATCATAAAATAAATAAAAAGGCCTGGGGATATAGCTCAATGTGAAGACTCTGGGTGTAATCTCTAGATCTTAAAAGAAAATTATTCTTATGTTAGAAAAATGATAATGGAGAAAAACCAAAAAAAAAAGAAAAATGATAATGGTAAAATTTCTTTCTGAAACATTTTTTAAAAATTAAAAATTTTAGATCTGGTTTTAGGATTTAATGTTGATTTGGTATTTCTACTGTTATGCACTGAAATATAGGTTGTGACTGAATTACAAATGATTGTACTGCAAATTAAGTACACTATTACATATCAAAGATGTAATTCTGCAAATAAATAATAGATTGTTAGTTTTTCTTCAGTTTTAACAGTATTACCAGAATTTTGTAGGTTTTTCTGAGTGATAGTTTGTATTAATGCATATATAGTTGATTGTTGTTTGCAATAATTATGTTCTTTTTTTTTTTTTTTTGGTCTTTTTGAGACAGAATCTCGCTATGCAGTTCAGGCTGGCCTTGAGCTCACTTTGTAGCCCAGGCTGGCCTTGAACTCGCAACAATCCTCCTGCCTCAGCCTCCCAAATGCTGGGGTTACAGGCATGCGCTACCAGGCCTGGCTACAATAGTTACGTTTGATAAATATCTTACAAAAAAAAAAAACTAAGTTAGTAAATACTGAGGCATTTTCTTAGGAGAAATATAGAGTTAGATTCCTGTGAGCCTCTGGTCAGATTTTTGTCACCCGTTCCATTCACAGCCTTGTTTCATGTAAGTTTTTGCCCAAAAATTGCTTGTTTACTATATATTATTGATTTACTAATACTGAACACATGGCCAATAGCAGTATAATTTATTCTTTTTGTGTGAGTGTGTGTGTTTTTGAGACAAGGTCTCACTTTGTAGTGTGGACTGGTCTTGAACTCACTATGGAGTCCAGGTTGGCCTTGAATTTGGAGATCGTGCTGCCTCAGCCTCCTGAGTGCTGGGCTTAAAGGTGTGCACCAACATGCCTGGCTTGACGTTTGTTTTCTTGATGGTAGCCCCTAGGACTGGGTTGAGATGGAATCTTAATGTCATTTTGATTTGCACTTCCCTAGTTATTAAAGATGTTGAGCATTTTTTTCATATGCTTCTTGGCCTTTGTACTCCTCTTTTGAGAAGTGTCTAATTTATGTTATCATTTATTTATTGGGCTATTGATTTTTTTGGTGTTAAGTTCTTTAAGTTCTTCATATAGTCTAGACCAGTGATGGCAAACTCTTCAGAGCTTTCAGTGATAACAAACAGTGCCCTGTGGCACGCGTGCCATGGGATTGCCACCACTGGTCCAGACTCTGGATATTCACATTCCATCAGAAAACTAGCCTGCACAGATTTTCTCTCATTCCGGAGGCCATTTTTCCACTCTGTTGATTGTCTCTCTTGCTGTGCAGAAACTTTTTAATTCAATGTAGTCCTATCTGTTGATTCTTGCTATTTCCTGTGCTATTGGAGTGCTGTTGAGGAAGTCTACCTGTGCCTATGACTTCAAATGCTTCCCCTCTGTTTTCTTTTAGCAGTTTCAGTTTCAGATCTTATACCTAGGTGCTTGATCCATTTTGAATTGATTTTTGTACAGGGTGAGCGACAGGGATCTAGTTTTAGTCTTCTACAAGTAGATATCCTTTTTTTTATTAGGTAGTAAATACAGGATTTTTGACTTTTTAAAAGTTGTTAGATAATTATGATCTTGTTTTGCCTTGTCTTCATTTGAAATCCTTATA